CTGAAGGTGACAAAATGAGACTCTGTCTCAAAAAAAAAAAAAAAAAATTGCCGATCTAGCAGTGAAACCTCTGACAATGAAAGCTGTCACTCAGAGGGTATTAAGATAGCTGGGAAGCAAAGGGAAACGTTCCTGAAACACTGAGCTTTGCAGAAGTATGGACGCACCATCGGGATTTTAGGATTTTATCCACATGGATTTGTATAAAACAAGGCCATAGATCACAAATGGCAAACCAGAGTGAGAGAAAATGACAGCTGGAAAGCAACAAGAAAACAAGACAAATGGCCACGGTCTTTAAATGACCCACCACCCAATAGACTGGGGCTTCTCAGTGAAGGCACTGATATCCCTGTGGGAACTATTATAGAAGTTGAGGTTCATGAAAATGGCCCAAATTATCCAGAAGAGTTTAAGTCATCTTCTATTTGTTCAGCTTAAGAAGGCACTGGTGTTATCAATGGTGTTATCTAAAGTAATAAGACAATATGTTATGATTCACTTGACCCAGTAATCTCATCCCAGGGAATTAAGGGATGGTGATCAAATAATTCAGGAAAAACACACACAACCAACTCATTTTTGACAAAAGTGCCACGAACATTAAAGAAAGGACAGTCTCTTTAATAAATGGTGCTGGGTAAACTAGAAGAATATGCAGAATAATGAAACTAGATCCCTATTTTACACCATTCATAAAAATGAATTCAAAATAGATTAAAAATTTAAACGTAGGACCTGAAACTATGAAACTACTAGAAGAAAACATAGGGAAAAGACAATAGGACATTGGTTTAGATGAAGGCTGTTTTTGGAGTAAGATGTCAAAAGCACAAGCAACAAAAGCAAAAATAGAAAAGTGGGATTGGATCAAGCTAAAAATCTTCTGCACAGCAAAGGAAATGATGAACAAAGTGAAGAGACAATCTACAGAATAGGAGAAAATGTTTATGACCTATCCATCCACAATGGATCAATAACTAGAATACCTAAGGAATGCAAATAACTCAATAGCCAAGAACCCAATCATCCAAGTAAAAAACGGGCAAAAGACCTGAACTCACATTTCTCCAAAGAAGATATGTAAATGACTAATGCAGATCTGAAAAAATGTTCAACATCGCTAATCATCAGGGAAATGCAAATCGAAACCACAATGAGATTATCATCTCACCCCAGTTAGAATAGCTCTTGTCAAAAAGACAAACACATAAGCAAGAAACAAAACAAAACAAAAACCTAAACCCCCTTGCCAGGAAGGATGTGGAGAAAGAAAAACACTCGTAAACTTGATGGGAATGTAAAGTAGTACAGCCATTATAAAACAAAGTATAGTCGTTTCCTTAAAAAAACTAAAAATAGAACTACCATATGATCCAGCCTTTCCAATGCTAGGGATGTATCTAAAAGAAAGGAAATCAGCATATCAAAGAGATGTCTGCACTTCTGTTTGTTGTAGCCCTATATCATAATAGCCAAGACACGTAATCTACCTAAATGCCCGTGAATGGATGAATGGATAGATAAAATACACACAATGTAATATTATTCAGCCAGAGAAAAGAATGAAATCCCATAATTTGCAGCAACATAAATGGAACTGGAGGTCATAATGTTAAGTGAAATAAAGCAGGCACGGAAAGAAAAATACCGCATGTTATCCCTCTAAGTTGGAACTAAAAAGTCATGTCATGGAGTTAGAGAGTATAATGATGGTTACCAGAGGCTAGGAAAAGAAGGAGGCAGTAGGGATGAAGAGAACTTGGTTAGGAGGTACAAAAATACAGGAAGATAGAAAGAATAAATTCTAGTATTCAACAGTACAGTAGGGAAATTATAGTTAACAACAATTTATTTCAAAACAGCTAGAAGAGAATTGTTGTGCTCCTATTGTGAAGAAAAGATGAATGTTTGAGGTTATGGATACTCCAGTTACCCTGATTTGATCATTATACATTATATGTATACAGGTATCAAAATATAACCCCCCAAATACACACAACTATTATATATCAATAAAAAAATTAAAGTCTTTGATTTAAAATGCCAAAATAATTTGTACCATTTTAGTTATCTTCAAGTGTACAATTTAGTGGCCTTAAATATGTTCACAATGTGGAAATCATCATCACCGTCTATTTCCAGAATCTCTTCATCATCCCAAACTGGAATATTGTATCTATTTAACAATAATTCCCATTCCACCCCTCCATAAATCCTGTTAACCGCTATTATATTTTCTGTGTCTATGATTTGCCCTTTCATGTAAGTGGAATTATATGGTCTTTGAACTTTGTGTCTGGCTTCAATAAATATTTTTAAAAGAAGATAGAAAATTGTTTCAGTGATGATTAAAAAAACCCAAAAAACCCCCCCCCATTCATATGAACTTAGGAAAAAATTGGTTATTTTATAGCCATGGTAACAGTAGCCACTCAATCAATCTTAAACTGGTTTAATTCATCAAGGTGAACTTATCTCAGGAAACACATTGTTACAATCCAACCAATCAGCATTGCCCTCACTCCTGAAAATCAACCAATCAGGAATGGATTTACCTCTATGCCATTCCTCTGAGTGTGAACCAGCTGTCCCTCCTGAGTAATCACACTTCTTTCTATAGATGATGTTAACCTGCTTATGCCCCTGAAAGTCCACCAATACCATACTTCTGAAAAATTCTCTGAAAGGTCATGGGCCTGCTGTGCTCCAAGAGACAACTAGCATGGCTAGCCCTCAATATAGTAAGCAGTAAATCCAGCTACATGTTTTTGTTTCTGTTAAAAAGACAGATATTAAGTATTGGCTTGACACAAGTCATTACCAGAAGTCAAACTAGATAATTATTTTATGTTATATTCCAAAATGTTGTTCTTTGAATCTAGATATTTTCACTGTATTATCATATCAGCTTGGAAACTTCACTAATCGGTCCTTAAAAAAGTAGTCAGGAGAAATCAAAAGTACTTAGGACAGGAATGCTTTTTCACCTTCAATGGTTCATTATGAGCCACGTAGTCCTCGGGATGCTCCAAAAACTTATCTTTAGCCTCTAGACTTGAAAAATAGTAGATCTTTTCCCGATATTTAACTGGATCATCTGCACTGCCTGGTTGTAGGATGAAGTTTTCTTTGAGAACCACTGGACAAAAGTGCTTTGTATCTCCCAAATGCCTCCTTTTCTCTTTAATTCTATCTTCATTCTAGAAATGTTATTCAAAGGTTTAGACAGCATTATGAAAGAACATTTTGATGTAATACTAAGAAGAAAGTTTTAAAAAATGCTTGAATAATATTTGATGTATAATGATACAACTTTCAGGCAATCTACAAAAGGCCAGTCCTTATACTATTTTAATTAATTAAAAAAATCAGCTTCTCATATCCAACTTCAATCAGAACCAAAGTAAAGCAGCACTAAGAATGAAGGTGTCTCCAGTCCTCTACAGACATAGGTGTAATGAAAAACTCCAGGATGTGCTGATTCAGAATCATTGTGAGGTTAGGTTCTAAAATGAAATTAATCCTGAGAACTAAAAGCTGGATCAGGGTCACAACTTCTTACCCATTGCAAATTAAATGGGTGATGCAGGGCATAGCCCAGTGTTAAACTCTCAAAGTGGCACCTTGGATGGGTGGGAAAGAAGGGAGGGAAAAGAAGCCTCAGGATTTGCTTTGTTTCCAGCTAAGTAGATATAAAAACGATATGCTTTTGAACAATCACTGGGTCAATGAAAAAATAAAGATGGAAATCAAAAACAATTTTGAAACTAATGAAAATGGAAAATACAGCATATCAAAGTCTGTGGGCTACAGTAAAAGCAGGAGTCAGAGCATCAAATGCCAAACTACCATGTGATCCAGCAACCTCACCGGTGGGTAGCTATTCAACGGAAGAGAAATCGGTATGTTGAAAAGAGATCTGGCTCGGCGCCTATAGCTCAACCGGCTAAGGCGCCAGCCACGTACACCTAAGGCAGTGGGTTCGAATCCCCAGCCCGGACCCGCCAAACAACAATGACGGCTGCAACCAAAAAAAAAAATGGCAGGACGTTG